CAAGTAATTTTACTCTTTGATGGCTTGACACGACTGTCCAGTAACTGCTCAAAAACCGCATTAAATTTCTACCAGGCACGCATACAACAGACACATCGCGAGGACCCGTGAAGGGCACGCGCGAATTAAATTCTCGGACGTTCCGGCGGACGTCTTCGCGCTTCTCCGGTACTCGGGAACAGGTCTCTTGACTTCAAAAGCAACGATGCGCTTCCCTTGTGCACCACCGGTTCGTTTCTATCCCCATACATGTATATTTTGGAAGATGCGATCGTGTCACTTTACGCCCTGTATCGCGACTCTGTACATAGGGGACCGAATCTCTGAGTTTCGGGTTTCGTTTCGATTAACTGAGCCCTATTTGCGCGCGCTACGTACGGTATTTTTATCGGTACAGTAACGATAAGTTACACATCGAATTTTCTCCAATTGATTACCTCGCGACACACGTTTGTTTCGAGAAGCGGAGGAGCCGATGTTCGCGCTTTCTCAGTATACAACAAAGCGGTGCTGTCTCAGCGGTCTCATCCGGGAGATGCTCGCGGATACCATGGAGTTTTATTCGGGTGGTAGCACCTGAATAACCGGGTAGTACACGCAAATACGAATAATAACAGGCTACCGGGTATATATATATATATATATATATATATATATATATATATAGAGAGAGAGAGAGAGAGAGAGAGAGAGGGGAGGGGGGAGAGAGAGAGACTACTCTGGTGCATAATGACAGCACCAACACAAAGGACCACGAAGTTGATTAATTTCTCTAGCCACGAATGTGCGTTTGTTCTCGGGGTCTCTCTCGAGAAGCTCGGAGCGCCTCGACGAATAGCCGTCGTTCAAATGGCATGTATACCGTGCGTAGCGGATGATCTGTTGGAACGAAATTGATAGTGATACTACTACTACTACTATTTTGTACGATACGATGTTTTGTATAACTGTCTACCGTGTGTGTAGAAGCGGAGTCTACCGATTATTGTATAAGTGGTAAAGAAAGAAATGCTCTATATCGAACCGCATATACATATATACATAAATATAAATAAATAAATATATATATATATATATATATATATATTTAAAATTTACGATTTGTAGACGTACGCGGCTCGACTGCACTCGCGAATGGTCATGCGCATTGATGTTACAATCCCATTTAATGTACACCTGTAAATCCCTCCCAGCAAACAATATACGAGCAATTAAAGGATTGGTAAAGAATCAGCGAGGAATTTTCATTCACCACCCTTGCATGAAAGAATGCGCATTTCTCCGAAATGCCAACTCGCAATGACAGCCATACACGGACAGAATTTTACGGTATAAATTATTATATTTTATAATCGAGATATGTAATTTATTATCCTTTTATTTTTTATAAGTGTTTTTCATATTTTTCATGTGTTATTTATATTTTAGGAACTGAAATGCACTATTAAAAATTTGTTATGTTTCCTTTTTTCTGAAATTTACTATATTTCTTAGCAAGATAGACTTTACGTCAATCTATTTTTGCACTACTAAAACCAGTAAAATTGAGAATTTATATGAAAAAAACTCATATTTTTCCTCCGTATAGTGATTTGCACGAAAGTATGTGCATTTTTGCGAAAATTAACTTGCAATGATAGTCGTACATGGGAGAATTTTATAGTAAAAATCACAATAGTATTTTATAACCAAGATATAGATATCTGTAGTGATTTATTATCCTTTTACTTTTATGTGTTATTTATATTTTAGCAACTGAAACGCATGCTATTATAAATTTGTTATATTTCTTTTCTGAAATTTATTACGTTCCTTAGCAAAATAGACCTTGCCGTCAATCTATTCCCGCACTACCAAAAACAATGTAAAATTAAGAAGAATTTATATAAAATTTATATAAAAAAATTAATATTTTTTCTCTCCCTCCGCGTAGCGATTTCTTTGTCGTCAATTAATGAAAGTGTAAGAAGCAAAAACTAATTTCTTTCTTATTGAAAATTTTTTTTTCACTAAATTTTCATCTTAACGAGAAATATATATCGTTAAAAAATTCATTCAGAGTTATTAAATTTGTTAATATATACCACACTTGCGGAAAACGAGCGGCTTGTTTGACGAATTTTCTTGAAAGTAATCTTGGAGACTCTCTCAAAGAATGATTATCATGAAATTATAACGTTGATCACGAGGGAGTTTTTCACACACACACACACACACACATGATCGCATTCAGAAAGGTATCGTGCGAAAATAATGAATAGCAAGGGGGCGCGCTGCCTTGCGTTCATGCGGCTACCACATGGTAGCGGTTGACGAGCACCTGTTGCCTTAGACAGGAACCAACTGACAGTCAAGGGTTAGTCGGCTCACTTACGCGTAAAATTGTGACTCCTCCGCGACTTATGTCGCCTACAACGTTTCTCTCTTTGTAAAACATATTGCGAACTAATTTCTACATCGCAACACTCGCAATCGAACTCTTCGGCGCGATCGTTGGATTTCGATCGCTTCCGCTCTCCGTTTTATTCGTCACGAGACGTTCTCTACACATCGTGTTCTCGAGAAATCGACCTATTTAGCAACGGAAATAAGGCTACGAGAAAATTCTGCGTCTTCAAAAAAGGCCTCTCTAAATTCCTCGGAGTGAAATCTCACTCGAGAAATAGAGTGACCACCGAGTCATTCAAATTTGAGTGATTTTTTACTCGTGTAGAACGAATTTTCCACTCTGAATTGTCGAGTAAATATTTTTACTCAAAATTGAAAAGTTGAAGTTTGAAAGTTGAAGTTTGAATCTGATATACTATACTTGGTTACAAGGTGGTCTAGACATTATTATTATTTAATTGTTGTTATTATTATATTTCACTTTACGGAAAAAGAAAAGTTGCTTTATAGTATAATATTTTATATTTTACATTATATTGCAATAATGAGATTGGAATCTCACCAAAGTGTCAAAATTGAGAATTATTACCGAAAGGTTTACGCAATGTAATTATAATAATAATTATTATTATTTACTATTATTTATTAACACTATTTATGTCATTATTGCATAAACGCGTCGATAATGACTTTCAATTTTGGAATCAAAATCCACTCTAAGCCTAAGTGAAACATTTACACCTGTGATTTCGAATGATAATATTTTCATTATTGCTTCGGACAAAAGTCACAAAGGACACGTCGTTTTAACTCGTTTTGGGTGATGCTTCACTCAAGAAAATTTAGGGAGGAAGAAATCGCCACCTGTAGAAAATTGTTTAGGATTTGCGATTCTCATATAACATTGATTTTCTATGCGGGTAGTGCACGGAAAAAAAGTTTGGTTGGAGTAACTAAATGTGTGTGGTAAAATATGAACGAACCAGAAATTCGAACCAGATATGAACGAACCAGTTGAAGTTACCAGAATTCTTTTCAAGGTAACAGGATTTCCGGTCAACTTGAACAGCTGCGTATTCTGGTTACCCAGAAATCTAGTTAACTCGAAGGTTGCAAGACCTGGTCAACCAGAGAAGTCTCATTAACTTGAACAGATTCCGATAATTTCGACCGGAATGTTCGGCTCGTTCGTATATCACCAGACATTTGGCTAATCCAACCCAACCTTTCTTTTCCATGTGGAATAACGAATTTTGGGGCAAACTTTCGGGCATTCCAGTCGGCGTCTACCCTGCCCCGGAAAAGTCTCGAGGGATCTCAATGCGCGCCGAGCCAACCAGGCGGACGTACGCGAGTCGCCGATCTCGATCTGCGAGGATCACAGATCCTCGCCGGGCATCCCTTCCCGCGCGGATTTCACAGCAGCACGACGGCTAGACGGTGCTACACTCCACCTCTCCTACCGTCGTTTCGCCATTTCCCTCTCTCTGCGGCGAGCCGATGCACGATGCAGGGGAGAAAGAAACACCGCCTTCCGACCGGCACGGAGTAGTTGTTCGAAAACCGCTCTTACCTGCGCCGAGTGTGCGCTCGGTTTATCGTTCCGCGCGCGCGCGTCCGCGAACCCGGTGTACTCTCCCGACGACGACGGTGGACACTCCGATCTGCCGATCGCGCGACCTCGACAGCCACGTTCGATCGCCAGCGCCGCGACCCCGGGGAATTCAAAGCACGCACGCACGTCGATCGAGCGATCGCCCGGGGCTGCTGGCGCGATTTCCGCGATATCGTTTGCCGATTCGCGAGCATGCGCGCCGCCGCCGATGAACGTCGCGCGCCGGAGATCGGCGATCGAGCGTTGGATCGTTAGGCGTTCCCGCGGGTGCTCTCCGTGAACCGATCGATCTCGCGGGAGAGGTTCGCGCCGCGAGCGGGCTCTCTCGCTCTCTCTCCCCTTGCTCAGCGCCACGCCGACGACGCTGATGGATTACCTGTGGGTTCAAGTGTGCACGGTGTGTTGTCCGCGCCAGGGTCCAGGTGTGCGCGATTAGGTGGCCGCATCGTCGTCGTCGTCGTCGTCGCCGCTGGGAGCGCATTGATATCGTTGCAAATTGCGCGCGCGGAGGCCGCGCGATCGATGGATCGCTAAGGGCGAGCTCACTTGGAGCGTTGGTTCCTTTTGGACACGCGTGAATACGTGAACACGTGGCCTGACGCACCTACGTCCTTTACTGGGACTCGGGGACTCGGGCTGTTAGAGAGTGACTTCGACCAACGACGACGTCCAGCGGGCGTCTGCGGTCCCGCCTGGAATTAGCGAGATCTCGGGAGGACGAGAGCTATTCGGGATTAGCTGGATCTCGCGAGATACCTCAGCCGCTTAGCCGCTGCCGTCGCAGGTTGCTCTCCTTTATCCCGGGGATTGTTCAACTCAGGTGCGCCACGATCGAATCTCATCGGGAGATTTCAAGAGTACTCTCAGTGGAGCGTAATCCCGCCTTAATCCCCGTGAATGATTCGACAAGACGGGGAGAAAGAGAGAGAGAGAGAGAGAGGGAGAGGAGGAGAGAGATAGATAGGAGCAGTCCGTCTTTATCCTTGCGGTGCGCGATACCGGCTCCGAGAGACCGGTGTCCGGTATCCATTGCAATCTCCTCGATAATCGTCCGTCATTGAGCATCCCCGAGTCCATCTCGGCGTGATTCGCTTCGTTATTGAAGACGAGCTTTTGTTATCGCGCCGAGTTTCACGACCACTTTGGCGGAAAGAGGAAGAAGGAGTCTTCTTGGCAGCGAACGAGCGCGTAATTGAATCGCTCGCCAAGAGATCTCGGGAGTATCCTTCTCGAGAGACACAGAGGAAGAGAGCGAGAGGGGCTACAATCTGCTCGATCTCGCCTCCGTGAGTGCGCGATTTGACAGGTAGAAGTCGCGTGTTCATCCGTCGCCGGCCGCGGTGGTCTATCGCTCGAACGCTCGTCGTTCTTCAAGGTACAAGCTTCAGGGAGCTTCTCGCGCCTCTCGAAGATCGTCTGCGCTAACTTCTTTTACCAGCACGCACGCTCCATTAGACGCCCGACGCGCCGATTCTCCCCCTCGCGTGATGGACGGCGCGCAGATTTCGCGGATTCGCGAGTGCACCGTATCTGAAGCCCGCTGAAGATTGCAAGAGGAGAAGATCACGTCTATACTCGCTTCGCTCGATTGAATCCTCGCGGACGAATCGATATCGAGGATATAAGAAGCCGTCTCCTAATTTCTCTCTTAAACGCGAACTACTCGAAGCTAAAGTGAATCCAACGTCCATTTCGTTATCTTCCGTTGTCTGTTATCTTCGACTTTCTATTGTTAAGGATTTCCGAAATTACCCACACGAAGTTAGCTTGACTTGACTTGACTCCAGTGGAACCAACGTCCATCGTGTTATCTTCGACTTTCTGTCGTCGAAGACTTCCGAAATCGTCCACACGAAGTTAAGATCTGATTTGAGTTAGCTTAATTTGACTCGACTTCACCTGAGTGGACCCAACGTTCCATTATCTTCGACTTTCTGTCGTCGAGGACGAAATCGTTAACTACAAAGTCAAGTCTTGATCTAACTTAAGTGGCTAACAACGTCCATTCCGTTACCTTAGACTTTCTTTCGTCGAGAACTTCCGAAACCGTCCATTCCAAGTGAAAACTTGACTCAACTCAGCTCAACTTCACCTGACTGAGGCTTGACTTAACAACGTGCAAATACTCCAAAGAACTTTCGCGCTCAGAATCCGCCAAGTGTCTACAGCTTCGTGGTCGCGTCGTTCACAACGAAATCTCCCGCGCTGCTCGTGTCAAGGGTCAGCGCGGTGCAGCGGCTGCGAGCGACGCGTGTGAACTTTCGTCGATCGTCGGCCCCGGGGATCGACTTCCGACGTGATTCATCGAGGCCGCCGCTTGAGCGGGTCAGGGACGAGAAAGAAGGTGGATAACTCGCGTCGGCCTTAGGTCGATGCACGTATGCGCGCGGCAGCCTGGATTTCCGCACCATTTACCACGACGACGGGGCTTCTCGGGCTCGCTCGAATGCTGCTGCTGCTACTGCAGCGTGTGCTATCTTCTTTCGCCGTGACGACGATAACGATTCGCATCGAGCCGCGATAACGACGCGCCGTTCGCCCGCGCTCATCGATCAGTTTATCGCCGGGTGCCCGCGAATTCGCCAAGCCAGTCGCGCTCGTCGACTGCCACGTGTGCCTGGAAAGTACGTGACCGAAATCGATTGTCGAGACGCGCGATTTTCTCACTCTTTCCTAATTGAACGTGCGCGCACGTCGCGCGTACAACTGATTGACCGTCTCAACAAAACCCGCGAATTTGGTCTGTGGAGATAAGAAGAAGACCAAGAAGAAGGAGACCAGACTCGTGTGTGACGAACGAGCGTCTTCTCTTGGAAGACCAGAGTACACCCCCTTCTTGGAGAAACGCGTCTCGTGATCTCGCGACACTCCAACAGTGATCCAACTTACGCTTGCGTGCCCCCAGGACTTCTACAGGGACAAAGAGTCGGTAGCAAGGGGTGATAGGACCTTTTTGCCCGACGAAGGAGAAGAGAGACGCGCCGTCGGTGCGGAGGCAGTCGTAGAATCATTAAAGCTGGTGCATTGTAATATACGGCGCGTTTCGTCCGAGACGTTCGAGCCGCGCGGGACGCACACGAAGGCACCTTTATCATCTATCGAACGGCGATAACACGTCGCGCGCTCGCGCGTCGACTGACAGGTTATTGTCGATTGCTCGTGCACGCGCGAGCACTTATTAAGTGCTCTGTCTTTCTCTCTCTTTCTCTCTCGCAGGAGCTTCGTTAAAACGGTATCCCGCTGATTAGGCTCGCCGCGGAACGAACGCCGTTTGTCCGTGAGCCCGTGTGTCTTCGTCCGCTCGTTCCTCCGCATCTGCCGCGGTCTTTGTGCGTCTTGTGGTGCTCTTTTCTCGTCACGCTCTCCCGAGACGCTCTCCCGAGATCGACCGGCCGAAAGGGACGACGATAAAGGGCGGGTGAAATATATATCGGGCGCAGGAAATACCGGAGCGACACGCAAGACCGACGCGATACGCGTCCGTTCTTTCTTTCGACGGTGAGTGGCGAGGTGAGCCGTGAGTTCCCGAGCTGTGGAGATCTCTTCCTCGAAAGGAGGAAACCAAATAGCCGGCGGATACGCGAGTCTTCGCGCCGTTAAACGCGGACGGAAGGAACGTCACCTCGTCTCGACGACGAGGATTTATTATCTCACGGATTCGCGCGGCGTCCCCGCCGAGAGAGCTGTCTCCCCCCCTGCAATCAGGTTAGTGCACAGATTTCGCGTATTTCGCGAATATATATCATGAATGCCGTCGAGACGGTGATATATACACGACAGATGATATTTGTATTTTGATATATATATTATATTTTTTATTAAGTTATAAAAAATAATAAAGAAACATTTATTATATATATATATATATATATATATATATATATATATATATATATATATATATACACACAGTGTGTCCCATAAGTTCGGCAACGGAAAGAAAACTCGGCGGGGGAGCATTTTAGAGAAAAATGTTCAAGAACTTCAAGAAAATGCAAGAAAAAATGCAGTACTAAAAAATTAATATAAAATTCTGAAAAAATTCTCAGAGCTCTATGAGAACAAAATAAATAATTTTTATCTCTTGATATTTTTCGGTAAAGTTGATAGAATTCAAGTAAAAAATTATTGAAACCAATAATTTTGTAGATATTTACGTAAATATCTTAGAAAATAAAGGTCGTATAAAAAATTTTTTCAAACAAAAGTTGTTTGCTTTTTCACGTAGAATAAAATGCCGTAATAAAAAATATGTATTTCTATCTAAAAAA